GCCCAAGGACTCTCTCTATTGGCTGGACAGGAGGAAAGAAGCGGGAGAGAGTGTGTGCCTGCGTGTGACTGTGTGCGTGTGCGTATGTGACACTGTGTAGCCCCCAGGACCAAGAGAACACCCTCACACATCCTTTCAGACCCCCACCCCAAAGTCTCCCATCCTTAGACATCAGCCCCCATCCAGAGCGTATCTGTCGCTCAGAGCCGAGGCACTGGGGATCTGGAGATGGGGGTGGTGAAGCTGGACTGCCACCCTCTCCCTGAAGGTGGGCTCTTAAGGGCTTCTTAAGGGCTCTATCTGAACTCAAGAAAGATCTCATCCAGAAGTCCCAGAACTGCAACCACTGCTCCTCCATCCAGGCAGCCCAAACCAGAAGGCAGGGCTGAGCTGGAGAAAGAGGACGCAAGATCTCTCCACAGATCTGCGCCACCTCTGAAATGCTTGGGCTTGGCAGCTTGCTGCTGACCAGAGCGCAGAGCCCTGGCCAGCATTCCAGATGTTGGCAGCCGAACAGAAGGTTACATCTGGTTTGCGTCAGGATTTTTTTTTTCCTGAGGAGTTAGCAGGTTCCTCCATGCGTGGCAGCAGTCCCAGAGCTGCCTCTGGGTCAAATGGTATTTTTCTGGCCAAGCCAAAGTTAGTTGGGGAGTTAGTTCTCTTTTTATTTTCCTCATTGGGGGTGGGGGGTAAGGGGAAGCATGTGGATAAAGGGCAACCAGGCACAGAGGAATCTAGACCCCCAGAAAGTCTTCGTCAAGATTCGACGCCAAACATTTATAAAATTGAGTCACCAAGTATAGGAAGAGGTTTTGTCACGGGTGCAGGGCTGGCTTAGAAAAAAAATAATCAGAGGGGAGGAATCAATGAAGCAGATAGATACAATCTCTCCTTCTGCATATTTAACAGCCCAAGAAGGACAGTCTGGAGGGGACTTCTGTCCCAAAAGATGACACCGGTTCCCGAAGGTCAACCAAGGAGAAGCCACTATAGCAAGCCCTCCCAGCTGGTGTGGGCAACAGAAGAAGAGGTGGATAAATTTCCGAAGACCAGGACTGCACCAAGGGGGCCACGAGAAGATGGACCCTGCACCCTCAGCTATGAACCAGAGATCTGGGATCCAGGCTCTTCCCTGAAGACCCTCCCAAAGAAATTTCTAGCCAAGAAGACCCAGGCTGGCCAGTGACCACCACCCCTCCATACCATGTCTGCCTTGCACAAAGCCATGAGACTTGTGGATGAGGTCACAGCATTGCAGGGGTGTAGGCTGGAGCTGGAGATCAGAGAGAAAGGAAACAGAGGCCCTAAAAGAATTAGAGCACAATGTGGGGACGACAGAGGCTGAGCTGAGCTGGGAACAGAGGGAGCACAGTTCTACCGGGACAGGCCGGAAGGATTACAGGGACTCCTTTGCCACAACCCAGGACACTACCTTGAGGGCACCCCTCAACCCGGAGGGCTTTTGTTGTCTTTCCTTTGAGTTTGCTTTCTTTTCTAATGCACGGGGCTGCCTTGGGAGGTAGAGAGCTCCTGGCCCTGGCGGTGTGGTGCGGGCGGTGGCAAAGGCCTCAAGGACCCGGAGATCTGCAGCAGAAGTTTGACAACTTTCCGAAATTGTGTTTCTATGGGTCAAAGTTCACAAATGACAGACAGGGGATGATGAAGGGATATTTGGAACGTTTATCCCTTAACTTCAGAAGTACCATTAAGGGGGACAACTGGGTCTGCTCACTGAAACCCGGGGTTACCTGGGGCTTAGGGCGAGCCTGGAAGGATGGTTCGTGTTCTTGTGTCGGCAGGGGCCCCTGTCACATGGGCGAGTGAGCTGGGGAAAGCCGAGCAGGCAGCCTGCCTGGCCTCCCCCTCCTTGATTTCCCCACCACCCAGCAGACTCATTACCAGCTCTCGTCTCAGCTTAGAGCAGAAGACAGCAGACAGGGAGGGTGGCTCCGTACTTATCCTCACAGGGACATGGGCACACAGAGTCTGTCCATACCTGCCAGCTCAGACACGGGCTGGGACACAAGAATCACAAACATATACAAACAATCACGTGTCCGGACACACACTTGTCCGCACGTGCACACCCACATGCACCCAGGCACTCTGACCCTGCCCTGGGCAGGACACAGACCCAGGGCCGAGCATACCGACTGCACCCGGGTGTTGACTTTCCACTTAATCTGTAACTTTTCCTTGCCCAGCCTTGTTTAACCGGCAGACTCAGGTCCCACCCCGAGATCCACCCCTAGGCACTAGGTTTGGGTGGGTGAGGGTCATAGCCTTGAGTCTCTAAAAAATGTTTTCCTCTCTAAAACTGACTAAAGACTTGCTACTTTCCTGCTCATGCAGGACGTCCAGCTGGTACTGCTCACCCAGGTGGTACCCTCTAGAAAAACCCACTGAGCTTGAGCTGGAATCAGGCCTGACCTCCCTCCTCCAAAGGTCAGGCCTCCTGACCTCTGAAAGGCTTGTTTGGGAGGTGGAGCTTCACAGGCAGTCCGGGTCACCTCTTCACGCCCCATTGGCGTGAGGCCAATGACATCCAGCCACAGAGAAAGGGAAAACACCCAAAGAAGAGGCTTCACAGTTTGGGCACCAATGGCTGCAAAGTTCATAGTCAGAGCCAGAGGGTTTCTTCTTTCTTGCTGCTGGATTTCACCCCTATGATTTCGCCTCGATTCCAGCCCCGCTACCCACCCAAGACACCCAGGGTGAGACTGGAAGGTAGGTAGGCGCAGCTACCCAGACATGATCTGGAGGGTCACCCACCTGACCTGCAAGAAAGACTTTTTCCTTCTTTCCCTGGACTCTGTCTGGAGAAGCCAAGACCACCCACACCGGGTACCAGGCCTTTCTTTGAGGTCTAGCTCAATGGGTGTCTCCCTCACCCTTGTGCCATGCTGCTGGCTTCAGACTGAAAAGTCAGAGAAGGACAGCTGGGCCTCTGCTTCCTGGGTTTACAGCAGCAAAAGTCTCCGAAGTCCGCCCTACCTCTCTCTGCTCCCCTGCATGTCCCCCAAAGTCCCAGCATCGGAGGAGTTAAGTTTCCACTTAAATCCATTCACCTTCCTCTACATCACCATCTTCATCATTGCCCCAGTATAGAGCTCTTACTCCACGCCAGATGCCCCAGCCCTGTGAGGTGGGTCCTACCATCAGCCCCTTTTTACAGATGAGAAAATGAAGTAGACCAGGGGGTTGGGGGGAGAAGAGACTTATCTCAGCAGCTACTATGTCTTTAAATGGAAAGACTCCTGATACCCGAGGCACCAATAATTCTGGCTTTGCCAAAACTAAAGGAAAAATGTGAAGCAGCCATGCTCCTCCTCCTTCCCCCTCCCCCCAGGCACAGAATTTCTGGGAAGGCCCTGTTCCCATGACATGACTGGATTCCCAGTACTGAAGTAGGGGGGACAATATTTGCTGTGTTGACTAAAAATTAACCCAGCCTGCCTGTTCCCTAACCCTGTCCCAGAGGGACCCAGGGCACAGCTTGGGAACTCCCCAGCCCAAAGGCTGACCTTCCCACTGTCCACTCCCCCAGATTCTGAGAGTCGAGGGTCAGGACACTGATGCACAATCCTGGACTTCTGACGCACATGTCCCACCCCGCCCCCACCTCGAATGGCCTGAGCAGTGTTAATCCACAACCTTTTCTGGCTCAGAAAGCTGGGACAGGGGGTCATGGAGGAGGGCAGGGCGGTGGTGATGGGGGGAAGCCTGGAGATGGATGGGGGAGACCTGCCCCTGGAGCAAAGAGTAGGCAGCCGGACCATAGCAGGCTAAGGGAGGGGGCATGCCGAATGACTGCCCACCCCCAGTCACCTGCTGAAGCTCAGCCCCAAGAGGAAAAAGCAGGAAGAGTCTGATTGATCCCTCTGCCAAACTACTCCCCACGCAAGAAGGCCTGAGCCTTGGGCCGTAGGACGGACAGTGGCCTATTGACAGTGGTGGGATAAAGAGAACAGCAGGGAGGGAGGCCAAACCACCGTGTCTCATCAGAGACCCTGCAGGGCCACTGCACAACTCTAGGGTGCGCCTTTCACATGATGTAGTACGGCCCAGGCCGGGGCAGGCGGTACCTCTGGGATGACTGGGAGGTAAGAGGGGATGAACAGCTTGCTGAGTAGGTACCTGGTTTCCCCAGGGTCCTCCAGGCCTCCCCTTTCCCTCTCCTGGTATCTACCTATACTGCAAGGGTGGAGGCCAAGGCAAGGAGGGAAAGGGGAGGGGCGTTAGAGACCTGGACCCTGTAATTCGAAGGAGCCTAAAGCCTCCTTGGTGTGCACGATGTCCACCACATCACAATCACAAACTGTTCCTGCAACCCCCCCAAAGCTCCTCGGGGAACAGAGTTTCTTCCACTACGGGATGGGGTGTTCCTACCCAGTCAGGGAAGAAGGGGTTCCCAAGACCGCCTGAGGGCTCTTCCACCCCATGTCCAAGGTGGTGAGAGAAGAGGAGAATAGCAGCCACCTTATCTGATGCCAGATTCCCCCTGGCCGGTGGAGGATGGAAATACAAAGGGAGGGGGGGGGAGTGGATCCATTATACCTGGGGATCCCAAAGGCTCAGCCCTCATTCCCAGTCTGGTCTGGTCCCAGTATCCCTCCTGTCCCATGAGCACTGGCATCCCTACCCCAGGATCAGCGATTTATACCCCCAGGAACACCCCCCCAAACCCCTGCTTCCCAGATGTGCCAGTGCCAGGCTGGCATTTCTCCTAGAATGTTTTCTGCTGACCCATCTCTTGCTGCCCAGGGGCAGGAAGGGCAGAGAGGCCCGAGGCCCAGACCCCTGGGGTCCACCTCCTTCCTGTTTTCCCTGCATCCTGCTCTCCTCTGGCTAACAAGCTGCAGAGGATTGAGGAAGTGGAGCGGTCTGGGACCCAAGGCAGGAAGCTTGGGGCCTGAGTCCCAGCATCCGGACTACAACAATGGAAGCTTCAAGCACCAGGAAAAGAGACAGACACAGACAGGGGCACAGGGAGAGCAAAACAGAGTTAGAGGGGGAACAGGAAACAGAGGCAGAGGTAGAGAAAGGCCACTAGATAGATTCCAAAAGTAACAGAGAAAGACAAGGACAAAGACCGAGAGAGAAACAGTGACAGAGATACGGAGAGAAAGAGCGACGGAAAGAGACTTCAAGCAAAAGTGAGAGAAGCATGGCTGCTAGGAGAAAGAGGGGAAAAGAGAGAGAAAGAGAAAGACACTGATAATGGGCAGGAGATAGTGAGGAAAGGAGAATGTGAAAATGCTGTTCACTAGTGAAACCAGAGGTGGAGGGTCACAGCAGGAAAGGACAAAAGAGTAAGAGAAAGAAGAAAAGGGCTGAGAAAGATTATAAGGAGAAACTGAAAGTGTCGCTGAGAAAAGGAAAGAGAGACAGTGTAAGAATGAGTTTAGGGCAAAGGGCCTTCGAAACCTCTCTGTCTCTCTCTTTCTTTTTCCCCCACCCTCCTTCTCTACTTCCTATCCTGTTAGGTTTCTGCAGCTCTGGGCTGGGAGCCAAGACTTGTTTCTTTTCTGCCACTTCTAACAGCACCTGCCAGGAGAAAGGAGTAGGAAACCTGTGTCCCAGGACAGGAGCAGGTGCCCAGGCCTGGCAGAGAGACCCCTGCCTTCCCAATACCATCCAGAGAGCTAGGTGAGCCACTCTGATGCCCCTTACCACCAAAGTCCTTCTAATTTGCATGTCCCACTGCATCCCACCTCAATGTCAACAGGCCAAGCCCTGGCTTCTCAGACCCCTGGGGTTTCATCTGTGCCCAGGGAGAGGGGAGGTCTCTGGATCAGGAATAGAAAGCCCCCTTTCCCCCAGCACCATCATCCACATCCTCCAGATATCTGGCCCTAGACTGCTCCCTTGCAGGCAGCGGGAGAGACCAGGTCACTTAATTTTCCACTCTTGCACCATCAGCCAGGACTACCATTGAGATCTCTTTTCCCAAATAGGCATCATCGAGAGGTTGGAGATGGAGGGATTTGGCAGAGTCTTCCTTGATGGTGGCAACAGGCTGCTGGAGACTTGATAACAGTTTCCTTGGCTGACCCTGTCCGGTGCCAGTCGGGCCCTGCCAGGTATCTGCCTTCTGCTCAACTCATAGAGGCTTTTCAAGAGCTTTCTGGACCAGCCCGAATGGGGAAGGGGCTTCTTGGAGGGGATCACCCCAGGGAGGGCGTGCCAGGGCAGGGGCACCTTACCAGAAGGCTGCAGGCTTTCCTGGATGGCTTCGATCTCTGCCAGCTCCATGCACAAGCCTTGCCCGTGCATCAGCGTGTGCAGGGGCTTCTCCACACCCCGGGGCGGATAGCAGCGCAGGCCGGAGCCGCAGCGGGGAGTGTACACCCCGCAGGGCATCCCCTTGCCCAGGGCGCAAGTGGCGCAACAGCCGCAGCCCGGCTCTCGCACCAGCTCCTCGCAGCCCACGGGGGGGCGGCAGCGCGCCAGCTTCTCCTCGGAGCAGGGCGGGCAGTGGATGGCTTCGTCGCCCAGGCTCGGCCCGGGCCCGGCGGCCAGCAGCAGCGCGGCCACGAGGCAGAGGGGCAGCATGACCGGGCGAGGACGGGGCGCAGGGCGCGGGCAGGGAGAGCGGGCGCGCGGGCGGGCAGCCGGGGACACACGGCGGCAGAGCCCGGCGCGCCTGGAGGACCCGACCCGGAGGGCGCGGGGAGACGGGGCGGCCCCGCTGGCGGCCAAGGACGGAGCGGAGGAAGTTAGCAAGCGGGCCGGAGGGGAGCGAGCCTGGCCGCCGAGGCGCTGCGCCGCATCCTCGGCCCGGCCCGGGCGGCGGGCGGTGGGGGGGCAGGGGGCTGAGCGGCTGCCCGGGACCGGCTCCCCCGGACTTTATAGCGGCCCCTGGCCACACCCCCAGCGCCGTCCCAGAGGTGGGGGAGGGGAGAGAGGGGGAGAGGGAGACGCGGCTGTTAGGGGGAGGGGGCGCTGTCCTAAGTCGCCGCCGCAGCCTCCGCCGTTACAATATCTCAAAGTCCTTTTCTGCGGCAGAAGGAAGCGGCGCAGTTTGGAAGCCACGGCAGGCGCTGATTGCGCTTCTGAACCGGAGCCCGGCAGGGCAGAGGGACACGGGAAGGCTAAGGGGGCTGCTCCTTGGCCCCCTCCCTCGACCTTGCAGGATTTTTCCCCGACCCCATTGAGGCGGTCTGCAGTCCCCCGGCTGCGAGCGCGCCTCCTAGCCCAGACCCCCGGCTCCGTGGATTCAGCCTCCTTGGCCAGGGTCCTTTCCACCCCACTCCAGGGCTTCCAGCCTCAATCGCTGGAGACCAAGTCCGGTGAGGTGCGGAAAGGGGGCTCAGAAGGGCCTGATGGCCCTAAAAGGTTAATAGGCTCTCTTCCTATTTGTCTCTTCCCACCTTCTCCCCTGCCCCCTATCTCCCTAGGGCTCATTTTGGCCCTTGTCCCCTCTGCCTTACCCAGGATGGCATTGACAGAGCTCCCTCTTGGAGAGGGAGGTGCCAAGACCCTTTCTCCTTCCTGGATGTTTGCTTCTATTGCTCAGACCCACTCCCACAGGGAGACTGGCTGGGGATGTTGCCACTCTCAGTTTGCAAATTCTGCATTGCACAACTCCAGGGGGCACCCTTTCTCTTGTAGCCCTTGTAGATTTGGAGAGCTGTTGCGACAGTTTTCCAGCAGATGGCACTCAAGGGTTTTGAGGAAGGGGTGCCTTTTTCTAATGCACCCAGTGTTGCTATTTGGGCAGCTCTCAGGGTTGGCTAGGCCCTCTGTGAGATCCCATTGTTGCCTCTATCCCCCACCCTTTGCCTCAGTCCTGCTGGGATTGGAGGACTTTCTAGAGTAGCATTTGGAGCAGGGACCCATCTCCTAGTTTGTCTCTCAGGTCCCCCCAGTGTTCACCTATCCTCCCCCACAAAGGTTTCTGCTCTCCCGGAACTGGTTTCAGGATAAGGGCACCTGTCCAGGCATAGTTGATGACCCATGATGGATTTTTTTTTTCTTTGCCTAGAAAGCTGCAGGGGAGCCATGCTGAAGTACAGATCAGAGACCCTCTTCCTGCTTCCTCTCCCAAGGCAGGGGTCTTTCAGTCTCACCCGGATTGGGCCCTCTCCTACTTTCTGCAAGTGCAAAGTGTCCAGGCAATAGGAGGAAGAGTAGCTGACAGCTGGGCCTGCAGGGACAGAACCAAAAGTTGCAAACTGACGGCACCTACTGGCAACCATCAAGACTGCAGAAGGGCTGGAGGGCTCCGGCCCAGGCAAGATTCTGGGATTCTCTCCATGCCATCTCACAGATGAACTAGGGTCTCTTCTGCCCCATCTGCCTTGGAGAAGGGCAAAGGTAGGTTCCTCAAGTTCCTGGGGGAAGCCCAGCCTGTCCCTGTTTCAGAAACTGCTCCCCAGCCCTCTCCCCTCTCCTTCACCATCACTAGACCCACCAGTTCTGCCACCAAATTACTGTGTAAACTTGGACCTCACCCCTTGAAGCCTGAGGTGGAGGTAGGCCATCTCCACCTATCCTACCTCTTGAAGCTCTAGTGAGAATAAAATGGGACCAGGAAGGATGATTCTGATCCAATGCCAGAGTTGTCTCCTAGCCAGCATACCTGAGAGGGATAAGGGACTGGGACATGGAGGAAGGAGGGCAGAAGAAGCTGGACCAAAGCCAAGAGAAATACCAGGGGAGGAAGCATGAGTGCAGGTGAGTGTAGGAAATCTGGAAAGGTTTCCAAGGTCAGACAGATGCCCATATTCCTACCCCAGCACCCGTCCCCCATCCATCCTCTGGTGCACCCCCATCACTGTCTGGGATAATTCCTAGGAGACAGGAAAATGGACGTGAGGAGGCTTTCCAAGCACCTCCCCACCATTCATGCAACCACCTTTACTGAACACCTACTGTATGCAGGCTTTGTGCTACATACAACAGATTCAGACAGGGCTGAGACCACTCTCCACATTTGAGGGGCTCACTATCTAGTGAGGAGAGACATACGTGAATAAAATAAGTGCAGGTCCCTGGGGGGTGTTTATATGGGGCACTGTGGGGACTCAGAGGCACATGTGGTCATTTCTACATCCAGGGCTTGGAGCAGCTTCATGGAGGAAGTGACCCTTAGGCAAATGGTCTTCCATGTAGAGGAAAAGTCACAGGTATTAGCATCAGGCTGACCTGGATTCTACCCCAGCTTTGCCACCAGTCTCGCCGGGGAACCTGAAACAAGTTACTCTCTGAGTTTCACTGTCCTTACCTGGAAAATGGTAAGAAAGAAAGAAAGGTGGGGAGGTAAGAGAGAGAAAGAATGGCCCTGTGCAAAGTGCCTAGCACACAGTAGGCACCAAGTGTTTCCTCCCTTCTATCCCTCCCGGCTGGAAACTAAGTTCTCCACTTGGCTCGAGATCCCTTGGTGGCAAGATCTGTGTCTCCCCCAGCAGACTGAAAGCGCTCAGAGGACTGGGTTTAGTGTGTCACCCCCTCCCCCCACCACCAGCTAGTGCCTGGGAGAGGCTGTATATAATGGGATTTGGAGTCACTGGACCTGGGTTTGAGTTGCAACACAGCCACTTAAGAGCTATGTGACCTTGGACACAGACTTAACGCCTTGAAGTCTCATTTTCATCCTCTGTTAAAAAAGAGAGAGAGAGAATAACTGGGCTTACCCCACAGGATGGTTGTAAGAGAAAGTGAGATAATGGACAAGAAAGCGCTTTGGGGGGGGGGAGGGTACAGCTCAAAGTGATAGAGCACATGCTTAGGATGCACAGGTCCTGGGTTCAATCCCCAGTACCTCCTCTTTAAAAAAAAAAAGTAAATAAATAAACCTAATTACCTCCCCCATCTCCGAAAGAAAGAAAG